CACACACTGTCTCACACACACACACACACACACACACACACACACAGAAATTAACACACGTGTAATAACTGGAGTGGATGCTGGCATCCTGATAGCGACCCATGTCACGGCATTTCAATGGAGGGTGGGACTTACTTACATAAGCATGATATCACAAACAAACCAATGAATGAGTACAGTCACTTTTTTTTTTCAAAAGTAAAGTAAAACAGTCGTTTTAGGTAGGCTATGTTCCTTGAAATTGCAGCACGCGCTGTAACTTTCTGATCTGTTGTCGAATTCCATTTCTTTGGCTATTTCACTACAGCAAAACAGTAGCGAAACTGACTCACAAATAATTTCTGAATCTTATTATTCTGTTTCTCTCAAGGTATCTTGTCAGTCCTCCACCAATGTCAAAGTTGCGGACCACCCTTCAATACAATTCTTTAAGGAGAACGCTGTTGATTCTGGAGGCTGTTTGATGCAAAGTGCACCCTGTCATTAACGAGTGACCAGTCCAGGGTGTAGTCTGATTTTCTAACGAAATTGGGTGGGATAGCTTCCTGCTCATTCCAAAATTTAACAGTCAGGATGATTTGCTGATCACGCTCCACTGTAAGTAACAAAAAGCGCACACCTCATCTTGAATGGCAAACCATTGAAAAGACACACGTGTGTGTCCTGCGTCGTTGTCACTGATCATCTGTGACCTAATCTGAGGTCATGGTATCCAGTCAGCCCTCCCACACAACGGCCACCCTTGTCCTACTATATGGCTATTTTTAGAAAGTAAAAAAAAAAAAAAACAAGGGAAAAAGTGAGGAAGCTTCCAGGGATGGAGCACCCCAATGGCCCTCTCAGTGCCGATGTGACCTAATCTGAGGTCATGGTATCCAGTCAGCCCTCCCACACAACGGCCACCCTTGTCCTACTATATGGCTATTTTTAGAAAGTAAAAAAAAAAAAAACAAGGGAAGAAGTGAGGAAGCTTCCAGGGATGGAGCACACCAATGGCCCTCTCAGTGTCGATGTGTTTGTTTAGTCATGTGCATGCGTGCACCTTGCCTTCTGTGTACCTCGCTTGTACATATGCACAGCCCCTCCTTCCCCGAGTCCTGCATAGGGTGGAATTTCGGGATAGACAGCATCTCTTTGACTTTAAAATCTCTGCTTCGTCTCGCTGCTTGAGGAACTGAAAAAGAGCCTCTTGTGTGTGTGTGTGTGTGTGTGTGTGTGTGTGTGTGTGTGTGTGTGTGTGTGTGCTTAGCATATGTTGATGAGGGGTCGTGTTGTATCCTGGCATATGGGGTGATGCAGAGACGGGAATAGGAATAATTTCCACTGACTTTTTACAAAAAGGCTGCTTGGCACAATTAGTGCTTCTTTTTTGGGATGGCAATGCCAAAGAAAATTAGATAGACAGAGCTTCATTCTAAAAATTATTAGAAAAATAGCACTATAAGACCGACGAGGTATGCATGGCAGGCATCGATGAACTGTCAGTTGTCAAAGATGCGATGGCCTGAAAAAAAAGCCCAAAGCGTCGGCAAAATGTTAAGACAGAGGGTAAAACATGTTTCTATTTATAAATGGTATTAAAGGAGATGTTATATGCATTTGTTGAATCACTGAAAGCAGTTCTCAGGTTTTCACGAAAAGATCTTTGAATTCTTTGGTAGAGGCCACAGCGCAATCTTCTGGATCGGATGGGTCACTGCAATCCGAATGCACATACCGTATATCTCTCCTTGTCAGTTAGATGTTTTTTTTTTTTCACATTCCAACCAGTGCTTGAAACCTCTGAAAATCTAAACACTGAGTTTTTAATGTTGCAATCATGCTCCTGACTTCAAATGTAAATATTTTTGATAGTGGTGGAAAACAATAATTTTCCCGTCATAAATGAATCGATTAATTAGTAGATAAAAGACAAAATTGTTCCAAGCGAATAAACATGCAGTTTGGTTAAGCTGTTGAAGTTGTGGGAAACCTTGAAAGGATGTGAAGAGATAATTAGATCGAACCACGTATGAAACAAATCTGAAATGTTTACATCAAGTGGCACTGAGTGCAAATGCAGACGAGTCTCAGCTGTGGGATGCTTTGTAGCTTGCTGAAAAGGATGTTCGTGTCCATTACTACAAAGAGTCCCAAATGGCAGACAGACATAGTCTGCTTTATTGTGGTGATGCATTCACATTGTGGGTCAATCATTTCATTTGTCTCATTTTGGATGCGTTTTATCCATCAGCAGTAAAAAAATCTAACGAGAAACAGTCTTGAGTATTATCTCCAATGGTGACAGTAATTATGATCCTGGCGCCCGGATTGTTTTCGCGTTGTACCAGCTGTTTTCCCTTTCCTCCGCTGTAATTCTTTCGCAAAGTTGTTGAAATGCTCAAATGTTTGGATCATTTGTAGATCACCTTCAAAGTAGTGATGGCGTCGTCTTTAGTAAGAAGAATAACCAGACATCAACAATCTTAATGGTCTATATCAGGGACAGTTTGCTTCATATTTTAATCTAGCACAACGAGCAGTTACATGATCAAGAGGCCATTTTGTTATGTTCATTTGACATCCACCACCCCCATCCCACAAAACCGGTGAAATAAAGTAAAATATTCAATTTCTTCTTTCCTATAATGTTATGTTAGCAATAGCCTTGGTGCTAATATTACTGAACTTTCTCGCTCCCTAAATGATCCAACACGCTTGCCTTTCAAAACACTAATACTATTACTCACAAATATTATAACACAGCCAGCATCTGCACACTAGCTAGCTAGCTAGCTAGCTAGCTGTTTTTTTCTGAATTAGAAAACTTTTGTAAGTAATTTGGACTTGGCAGAAGTTTGTGATCTACTGCGTGTCATCCTAGCTCCCTACTGTTACTTGAACATATTTATTTTGTAGGCTTCTCCAAACCCAAATCTCAACTCTCTTTTAACAGCATATATGAGGCTAACTATAATTTAAGAATCGCACATTGTTGGTGTTAGTGAAACCACAGTAGTGACATAACTATTAAAAATAAGGTTTTGGCAGCAATCCTCTGTTTTAGCGGAATAAAGAGCACAATATAAAGCCAACCACAGGCAGCCGTAGTCAGACCGTTCTCCATAACTCGGCATTATCTTGTAGCTAGTTTCCCACCGATTGGCTAGCTGGAAGCAGCTTTACCTCACATAGCAACTTCTATTTGATTGACATTTCCCACGTTCAAACTAAGGCGGTAAAAAATTCAAGCCATTTGCCCTGTTGCTCTGCCTTGGTCAAATGGCATGTCAGGATTTATTTACTTGTGGTGCAAGTAGAGGAGACTAAGGCTTTTGCCACCCTAAAAGCACCTGTGATGTCATGGTGACATGTGGGAACAGATCGTGTTTCGATTCTACTGCAGTGTACGCAAATCATCATGCGTTATTGATTTGAATGAAGTGAATATCCCATTAGAAATCCTTCCCAAAGTATGACAGGCATATATTTAATAAGTGGTATCACTTTTCCCTCCCCAACATGTTACATAACCAATCAGACCCAACCCGTGTGCCTACCGCTCACTCTCCGTGCACTTCTACGAAGAGCCTCTGAACGCAGCTGGCAGTGGGCAATGCCAACAAGCAGGCAGCTGTCCAAACAATGACCAGCCTCGAAAGTCGAGTGGAGCCTCGGGATCATGGAAAAAGTGCGCAAACAACTTAGTGTCTTTGTTACCAAGGATTTACCTCAGAGGAAACAAAAATTCTCTTGTGTAGATGAGTCAAACAAGGTTTTAAAAGGTGTTTCTTGTACAGAGAGACGAGGCTCCTTCACTTCTGTCATTCCTCGCCCTCCTTTGCTCACTTTGTATCTAAGCACTGTATAAATTTGTAGATTGTATTTATTTTCATAATTTTTAACTCCACATCTTTTATTCAACCTGTTCGAAATTAACCCCTGAATTCAGGGCTTGACACTGCAAGCAAAATGGTCACAAATGCTACCAATGGGAATTTCATCTGGTCCTGTTGGTGCGAGTGCATATTTTTCAATGCTCCCACCAACACAGGCACTGTTTTAGACAGTGTGATTAAAAATCGCCTCATTTTTCAGTCTTCCGTAATGTCCGCATATGCGCCAAGCGCGTTGGACGCTCTTCCATCCATAAAACATTTCAGCACGGTATGCGTTCCACGCATGCACATTGGTCCAAGATGGACGCTCTTCCATCCATAAAACATTTCAGCACGTCGGTATGCGTCCAAGAGTCCCCGTTTGTCTACGCACTGCATGCATGTGCATTTATATTACAAGTAACGACCCCATGAAAGGAAAAAAAAAAAAAAAGGTGCGACCGAATCAAGTGCTCGTGCAACCAACTCAGGTAGTTGGTAGCACTGTGAATTGGATTGAATCTGGTCACGGGCTGCGAGGCAACCGTGTTGTTCGGTATGACCTCCAGGTTCTTTGATGCACTCCCTCCAACGGCCGGATGCGTTAGCGGTGTTTAAAAAATGGCTTTTCTGATCATTCTTTTGTTTGTGTCCGACTAGTCAGCGAAGGGGGAGCCTCACGCCTTCAAGGAGAAGACCTTCAAGAAGAGGCGTCAGTGCACTGTGTGTCACCAGAATGTGGACAACCTCGGCTCCTTCTGCAGAGGTAATGTCGGCCTTTAGTAAACTGATGTGCCGGAATGAATCTGAAGGAATGAGGGGGGATGTGGGGGGGGATGTTTTGTCCTAACTTCAGCACATCATGAGACCACGAGGACTCATTGTAAAAGGTCACCATGAGCCAAAGTCACAGCGCATAAGAAAACGCTTATTAAACACTTACGTCATTCCGGATAGCCTGACGGTACATGGACTAGAGAGAGAACAACTTGAGCTTGTTTTCATCTGGATTCAGAAGGAATTCCAATTTTCAGGGCTACATTCACAAGCTTTGTAGCATGACTCAACATCTTTTGGCTATCGGACGTCATGATGTCCATTTCGATTATGTAATTGTGCTTAACTTCGGTTTTCTTTTTTTGACCAGTGGAGAAAGAGTATGACTGTGTTCTTATTTTTCTTTTCCTTTCTGTGTGTCCCCCTTTCCTTCTCAGTCTGTAAGACAGCCACTCACAGGAAGTGCGAGAGCAAGGTAAGATTCAAATTGGCAAAGTTAATGTGAGAACTTGTGGGTGTGTGTTATACAGCAACGTCTTGCACATTATAAAACAGTTGTACCTCTACTGATGAAATTAATTGTTTCTGGAAGAAATTTAGCCTCATGGCCCGAGGGGTGAATGACGAGGACGCTGCATAGACACATATCTATCTATGTACACACATAGACACGGACGTTAGAAGTCCCTCTTAGCCAATGGGATGCCGGGATGATGCTCGGTAATAGCCAGTAACAGAGCAGCTATAAGTACGTGGCGTTCAGGAAACTCGTAGCTGCGAGTAGCAGGCCGTACTGTATTTTTACCTTTCATGTCTTGAAATTTCTTTCGTAACAAGAGGCAATATTTTCCTGTTGAGATGTTTCGTAACTTGAAAATTTTGTATGAAGAGACGTTCGTAAGTAGAGGTACCACTGTATTAAAAAAAGTGTGTGTGTGGGGGTTGTGGGGGGGATTAATATTGTCTATAGTCAGCAAAAAAAAAAAAAAAAAAAAAAACAGCGAAAACAAGAACATATACGTAAATGATGTTTAACATGAAAGACCAACAGCTTAAAATCTTTTTCGGAAAGTGCAATGACACCGTTGAAATAGTTTTAGGAGACCAACGATTCACACAACAGTAACAGTTTGAACTAAAAGTAAATGTTAATGCTATAGAAACACCAGTGGCATTTGATACGGCTTTAGCTTCACCTGAAGACGAACGGCTGATTAAAATGCTCCTAGTAGTCATGCCAAAAGCAAATTCATTGCCATGACGTCCACTAGCCAGAAGTTGAGCAGCCCTGTGTTTGTTTGCACCCTAAGCCTGTGGCTAGAGCGTGACTAAGCTTCTTATCCTTCACCTGTATGATAGGGAATCTTAAAAATTGCCTCATCAAATGACCTGCATTTGATTATTTTCATGTTTTATAATTAATAGCTAGTTTTGAACCGAATTCAAGGAAAATTTGGAGCAACTTTCCACAAGCCAAATGAAATGATGTCGAGTACCTCATATGACCCGCAGGGCTTGAGTTGGACACGAGGTATACTTTTAATAGTGAATGTGTCACATCAATAAGCATAGTAGATGCACTATTTGCAGTTAAGTGTTCGAATAGAGCACAGTGGGTGCAGAAGTCTGGAGACGTGCGCTAATGCAGTAGCCGCCCTGTCACATTCCTCAGAAAGAGCTGCAAGCTCGTTCCATAGCCGCCCTGCTGCCTCTGTGAAAGGCTCATTGATGGAGGGATGCTCTAATGAATAGACAGAGTTGAGTTAGGGATGGGGGGTTGAGGGTGGGGGGTGTGGCAGCCATGCTTGGAGTGGGTAAGAGTGGGTAGGTTGAGGTCTATCAAATCCTCTTTTCACTGTATTCTCCGGAATGGACAGAAAATTGCTTCGTATTATTCATATCAGGTGTTAAAAAGTTATCGTGTTTTCGTCTTTCTTCAGCTCAAATGTGGACATTGCGTTTTTTTCATGAGTTGTGCTAATAATCTTGTTTGTCTTCGAACCACACAAGATGGCTTCTTAGATCTACAGAATCAGAATCATTTTTATTGGCCAAGGAATTTGTCTCCATATATAGCATAGGCTACACTCGTATTGCAAAAACAAGCAGCTACGAGAAACTAAAGACATGACATATAAGTGAAGAAAGACTTTGCTTCATGTTACCATTGTGCAGTCGTACCACCCAATGACAGCCGTGTGATGTGAACAGTCATCAAGCGGAGATAATGTGAGCAGTGATGCCATACTTACAATACGATGACAGTTGTGCAGTTGGTGCAGATAATCGTTGCGTTGTTGTTGCTATTAATATTATTGTTTTTGTTGTTATTATTATTAGGAATTAAATTTAATTTTTAAGTTTTTTTTTTCTGGATATGGATATTGATACATTGAAGAGGAGAGGCTAGCAGGCTAGCTTCACTTAAAAACATGCTGACACCTCTGTTCTATCTGTAGGTGAAACCAGCCAAAACGTCAAACAGTGCTGTTAGGACTGAAGTGTTTACGCCATACCACACGGCATGCCGTCATCAAACCTCTCGATCACTCTGTCAGTCAATCAATCAATCGATCAATGTAATTTTGTCCGTCTTATGCAGTATCAACGTGACAGATGTTTACAAGCGGATAGTCAGAAACCCATTTAACAAAATCTTCATAACATGCATGCAGTGGTGTGAAATCCACGTCCGGAAAGTAAAATCTTGGCCACAGTTTGGCTTTGGCCACAGGTGCTTCGACTCAACTGGCAGGCAAATGAGCTCTAAACGAGCCGGTTGAGAAGAAGCACATGTGGCCAAAGCCAAACTGTGGCCGAGTTTTTACTTTCTGAACCTGGAGTTCACACCTCTGCGTGCATCCGTAACATGGCATCCAGGACAAACGTACCGGTAGTTGAGATTCAGTACAGCAGCAATTTCTGGAATAAGCTGCCCTGTCGTCGTTCTCCACATGCATTTTGCTTGATGATATCAATCGCCTCTGGATGCCCAGGAAAGGAGTGGTCGGATATGGCAGGGGTGAAGGGGCCTCTGGGCGCCATTTTTAACCTCGAAGGAGGCTGGGAGGTGATATATTCAGATTCGTTTTAGCGTAGGTGGAGTTTGGTGGTCCAAGGCCTTTTCATCAGCCTGGTTTTGGATGTCGGTAAACAGCTGTTACAAGTGTGATAAGTTCAAGGTGTTTCCTTTCTTGCACTTCATTCCCATTTGGCGCCGCCTCGCTACATGCAGTGTACTATATGCGTGTTTTGACACGGGATGTCCGCCACCTTTACATCCTGCTTCTAGTTGTCACCTTGGTGACTCATCTTTCTTTCTACCTTTTTTTTTTTAACTGAACGGTTGAGTATCATGTGTGTCCATTCTCACGAAAAAGAAGATAAAATTGACTTTCTTCTGCTAAAATATTTCATTCCTCTTTTGTCATTCTTTCCCCAAATCTTTGCCCACCGTGTCGACGGCGTGCAGCTGGCTCATCTCTATCCTCTTAAAACGCACAGCTTCCAAAAAAGCCATTTTATTTTGGGCATGCTTCTTTCTTCCGAGAACAGACCTTTCTTATCTTGATCCCCAGTGGAAAATTGGCGTCCATTGGGCCTGCTGCATGAGGCCCAGGGGCAAAGATGTGGAGAGAAATTTGGAACAAGACAATGAGAGAAACGGGGAGGAGGGAAAAGTGGGAACAGTGGGAGAAGGAAGGATTAAGTTTTATGAAATGCAACCTTTGACAAGTTGACTGGCCCGTCTGTATAATTGGCAAAGAGTGGGAATTTCCGCTGGCCTAACAGAAAACTTCATCAAAAGCTCTTTTGCACTGCCTGGAAAGAGAAAGAAGCAATTTGTGCCTTTTTTTCACTCCCCCCGTGTCATTTTTCATAGAAAATCACAGACACAAATCAGGGTGCAAAGGCAACCTGGCAATTTTCAGTTTTGGGAGGTGCATCCGTAACAGCGGCATGCAGGGCACCAACTTTGTGTCAGGATGTTGGGATGAAAAAGCAAACTGCTGTCTTCAGTTGCGGCTCTAATGGGATAATGCAAAAAAGAAAAAAAAATATCTGCAAAATAACGGGATGTCTCGATTAAAGAGGCCATTGGTTGCCGTCCGACATCACAAGTTCAGACTGCATAAGTCAGTCACATCGAGAGTCACATGCTCGAGGGACTGACCGTATAATTTATGAAGTATAGAGAAAAAAAAAATCCTCAATAATGTCATGCAATTCAGTAACACACAGGACATTCAACACACCGTGAAAGAACAAATAGCACTTTTTGATGATATCATGTTAAACATCAGAAACAGAATTTGTCGAGCGTATTATGGGTTGACTCGCTACGTGCATTGTGCTCATTCTTCTAAATCAGGGGTGTGAAACTCATTTTTGTCACGGGCCACTTTGGGGTTAACGTCTTCGCTCGAAGGGCCATTACGACAGTGAAACCAAATAAATGTGAATTCATCACATCGCATTATGACTTGGAATTGATGGATTACTCGTTTTGAAACCAGTCAACTATTCATTTGTTGTTTGTTCAATTATTTTTCAAGTGCGTGTAAACAGGGTAGCAAAATGATTACAAAATCCTTATGTTATTTATGACACATGGCAATTTGACATTTTGGTACAATTTTAGCAAGGCTCCTGGAAGGTCACACACATGATTTGCTTTCGCGGGCCGCATAAAATGACATGGCGAGCCGAATCTGGCCCCCGGACCTCGATTTAGACACCTGTGCTCTAAACGGTCCCCTTTAGCGTTTTCTTTTTTTGTGTGTGTGCTTCCTATGTTTTAATTTCAACACTCTTAACAATAGACTCCTTGTTTATGTCTTTATATATTTTTTTAAAGTACATGTCAAGTTCAAAGAGCTGCCCGGAAGATTTGTCGCACCGGCACAGAATGTGGAGTGTGGACATGGAATTACAATTCCCGCTGCCTTGTTTTTGCGTCCTCCGGGTGCTTTTATCTTGTCGGTCTTGTAAACTACTGGACGTGAGCTACATTTGACAAGTGTTGTGCTCAGACGTTCAAAAATGAAAAAAAAGGAGGTGGCAACCATCTACGTTTTACTGGCAAGCGCGCACTTGCGACTGCTTGTTGCCATGCAGAGTTGAGTACCCGCCCCCGTAAAACAATGGAAATGAAAGGTCACGTACATCACTCGCTTGTTTCAGAGACACACTCAGAAAAAAACTCCCATTCAACAGACTTCCAACATCAACAAAACTGAACATCTGTGAGACAGATTCATGCCTACACATCCATGGAGTCATTACATTTGTATATAATTCCAAAATAAACTTTGGAAGGAAAGGAAAACATGTGCCAGCTACTTGATCTTGTGTAATCGGGGCTTCATTTGTGTGCCAACGTCATCCTTCTGATGTAATACCCGATGATTAAGGTGCTCGTTGTCTTACCAAACCCAAAAGTCAGACACTCCATCTAGGAGAGAGTGCAGGAAA